GGTCCGCTTTTTCTTCCAGCAACTTCTGAATCAATTTGGGGATCATGGTAGGGGAGGAAAGGCGCATAGCAGTCTGGTGGGCTAGTGACATCTGAGGGCATTCACGTCCTCTGCTCCCTGTGATGGGTAACGAGAAATGAATCGGAGAAGCTGTGCTTTGAGTGGGGAGGCAAACAGATAGCCTACCGGTTGGCCCAACCTCTGAGTAGCCTCCAGAAAGATCTTGGGGTTCAGATGCCACTCTGATTGGTCCAACGTGGCTCTGCTGAGCCAATCCGCTTATACATTCACTACTCCAGATATGTGCTCGGCCTTTAGAGATAGAAGATGGATTTTGGCCCACAGGAATAGTCTTTCTGCTTCCTTCATTAGTAGATTGGAATGAGTGCCCCCTTGTTTGTTGTTATGGGCCTTTGTAGTTATGTTGTATGTTAAGACAAGCACATGTTTGCAATGGAGATGCGGGAGAAAGTGTCGAAGTGCCAAGTACACCGCTCTTAGTTCTAGTCAGTTGATATTGTGTGTCTTCTCTGAATCCATCCAAAGGCCTTGCGCTGTATGTGATTGGAAGTGGGGGCCCCATCCCACTAGACTGGCGTCTGTTGTAACGATCGACCTGTGTGGATCCTTGAAAGGGCATGGCTTGTTGATTTCGGATCGTGTCCACCATCGTAGAGACCTGAGAACAGTTGATGGAACTTTTATGCAAGTCCTGGCGTCGTCTCTCCCAGCGTGTTGGTATGGCAACAGAAACCATTGCAGGGTTCTTGCATGGAACCGGGCCCAAGGGATAATAGAAATACAAGAAATCATTTTTTCTCAGCAATTTAGAAATGAGACATAGGTGTACTTTCCTAAGAGTTCTGATCTGTTGAGCCAAATCACTGATGCTTTCTTGTCTGTCAGGGGAGAGGAAAACTTTGCCTTCCAGGGTGTCAATGATGGCGCCAAGGTGAATGAGTCTAGTAGAGGGTGTTAAATGACTTTTTGATCAATTGAGAACCCATGTTGTTGTAGGGTTACAAGTGTAGTTTGAGTGTTTGAATTTGCTTGATTGATGGAAGATGCCAGAATAAGAATGTCATTCAAGTAGCATTGAAGTTGAATGGACCTATCTCTGAGTGATGCTGCCAAGGCAGCCAAGACCTTTGTAAAAGTTCTGGGAGCTAAAGCTAGGCCAAATGGGAGAGCAATATATTCGTAATGGACGTTGTTGTAACAGAAACAAAGGCATTTGAAATGTGAGAGCTTAATTGGGATATGTAAGTAAGATTCCGTGAGATTTATGGAGGTAAGGACATTGTTTTTGTTTTCTGATGCTGAGTAAGATGGATTGCAGAGTGGTCATTTTAAACTTTCAATAAATCAATTATTGGTTTAGATGTTTTAAGTCCAGTATTGCCCTCCATCCCTCTGAACTTTTAGGGACCATGAAGAGGTGCGAATAAAAACCGAGACCATTTTGATTAGAAGGGACAGGTTGTATGGCCTGGGTCTCTAGTAGATGTGCTATGGCTATGTCCATGAGAAACCATTTTTTTTTTGCGTCCCTAGAAATTGGGGACTTCATAAAAAAATCCGGGAGGGTGGAGCTGAACTCCAGTGCCAGACCAAATCGTACTGTGTTCCTGACCCATGCGTCAGTGGTAGAGGAGTCCCATTGGTCGGCAAACCTTTTTAGGCAACCACCAATGGGAATCTCGTTGTGGTCGTTACTTGGACCTGCGGAAGGGCCTAGATCCTGTTCCTTGAAATCGTCTCCTAGGATGGAGTCCCCTTCTATATCTGTCCCCAGGTTCAATTCTATCTGTCTGTTGACTGAATCGAGGCTGTTTTTGAAATCTTGGATAGCAGGGTTGGTAGAAGGGGCAAAAGGAACCCCTAAGAAAGGGCTGTGGTAATCTGGACTCTGATCGATGAAAAAGAGAGAGAAGAATTCTCTTTTGGGTTCTGGTTTCAATTAGGATGGGTTCAAGTGCACTGCCAAATAGTTTGTTCTCCGAGATGGGAGCTGAGGCAAGCCGCCACTTGTGCTTGATGCCTGCCTGCCAATGCCTGAGCCAAAGTAACCTTCTAGCTGCAATTTGGGAAGCAATGGCCCTAGAGGAAAATTTAACTACGTTGAAGGTAGCGTCTGCCAAAAACTCTGTAGTGGCAATTAATTTAGTAACATCTTGATGTGCCTTAATGTTTGAGGCTGGAATGGTATCCCTCAGGTGGCAGAGGCATCTGAGAAATGATCTGGTGAAAAAGGAGGTGGCTGTGGCCACTCTGATGGCCCATGCATCCGAGGCGTGTGCCCTGCGGAGGGGTAGTTCCGCCCTCTTTTCCTCAGGCTTGAGAGCCTCTTCAGCTTCACTTGGGATGGCTGAGGAAGATGCAAGCACAATAATAGGCTCATCCACTTCTGGAGTGTTTAGAAATTTAGAGGACTCGGGTGCCAAATTATAGTATTTTTTATCATGTCCGTGGGAGCGGGATATGAGGCTGCTGCAGCCCATTGTTTTTGTACTAAATTGGAAAACATGTATGGTACAGAGATAATCTCTGCTTCCCCTGGAGTATTTGGTGGGGGAGGGGTACCCGTATTATCCAGTTGTGCGGTGTTCTTGGCCTTAAACAGTAGGGATTTAAATAATTGTGGGTAGAATAATCCTGTAAATACAGGGAGGTCAGATGAGAGGCCTTCATCATCAGACATCCCCCTTTCTAGCGGATCCACCTCTGACAATACCTGGTCAACGGTGTGTACCGACCCCTCTTCCATTTGATCCATTGGATCCCCTTGATCTCCCATATCCTGTGTGTACTGAGGGTCTCTGACAATGGGCAACGATAGTTCTGCAGGGGGGGAGGGTACCTGATGAAGATGTGGATCCGTGATGCCCAGAGATTGTTCAGAAAGAGATCTGCAACCCGAAGCTGAGGGTGTTCGTCCTGCCTGAATAGCCTGTTGGACACCTGCTGCTATGCCCTTCTGGATAGCTAGCTCCAGCCACACCCTCATGTTGGCAGGGATTTCTTCTGGAAGTTCCTCCTCTTGTCTGAGGCCAGCTCCAGTTGGCATAAATGTTGCCTCTGGGGCCCTCCTTGGGGAGAGAATGTTAGAAAGAGCCTCCTGGGGAAGTTGTATCAATATGCTGCTCCTTCTGGATAAATCCAGAGGGGCGGTTGGAGGGTTCTGGCCTGTGAGGTAGAGGGTATGATGAGTGAAGAGGTCGGCTGTGCAGCTACTCATGTACATTTTTCCACCTGCCTTTCTAATGCCTGATGGCGTCTGCGTGCATCTTTCTCTGCTGCCTTAGAGGTCTTTTTGGGCTCCATGGACTTATCTCTATTTTTAGCAGTTATTCTAGATCTGGAGTTGTAGTTGCTGGCCATGGTAATGCCTTTGATAGATTAGCAATGGAAAGAGGCTATGAAATTAGGTGGCTGGAACACCTAGGGGCCTACTCCCTTAAGGGGCAGGGGATCCTGGAATAAATAGTTCCCTGATGCCTTTAACAAATGTGTCTCCTTGTTCTGTTTTGCTTTGTTATCTATTTATCTATATTTTAATAACTTAAAAATTTGCAGAATTTAAGTCAATCAAGTCAATTTTTTGAATAAAGTACTTGTAATATCAAATGGAGACCAGAACATCCCCCTCCAGACCTGGCACCTATATGAGGGCACAGAGGTCTGTAACTGATAATTAGATCAGTTTAGCTGCACTTATTGCCTGTGGAATCCAGCAGTTCAAGTCCTCTATCATCCAGTGAACTGGTGGTAGGGACTCCTCCTTCCCAGGTCCCCCCAAAAAGGAAACCTTGTTGGGTAACTTACCTCACAGACAGTAACTATTACTCAGCAAATTTAACCACGCGGCCTTTAAAATGCTGCCTGCCTCATGGCAAAATGAAAATAAAGCAGCTATCACCACCTGGCCTGCTGAAAGCAAAACTGCTTAGCGGGAAGGCACAGGGGCTAATTCCCTGCCCTGAGGTGTTCTGCGGGAAAAGCCTCCTAATAAAAAGAAAAACAGGCTGCACTTTTAAATGGAAACTTCAAACCTGAAGGGACACAGCGTTTACTCAGCTGGCTGGGATATTGGAGAGATAAGTCCTTGTTTAGAAGTTTAAGGCAGCATGTTTCTGAAAGAAGAGGCTTTTAGCCTCAGGGCAGATTGGAAAGATAAGCCTCCCTGTTTATGAGGCTTTAGCCTCAGGAGGCTGGAATGTAAAAACAAAACAAAACAAAAAAAATGAGTGAAATGACTTTTGGAGGTTCCCAGGGGGGTGGTTGGTGACAGAAACTATGGTATTACCTGGCCTGAGAAATGAATCAGCTAAATCGCCAGTGTTCTGTTCCGACCAGGAAAACAATAATGCAACCTGTTTGAAGAAAGGCTGAGCTAAAACTGGGGATGCTAAGAAGGAGTCTCGTGGAGGAGAAGTGTCCTCAAGTTTAAGCCCAACCTTCCTAGAAGGGACTGAAGCACCTTCCCATCACTGGATGCTCTGAACAGCTCATGGGAGAATGAAGCAAAACTCTTAATAAATATGTCACTTAACAACATACGTTTGGGGCTCAGTTGTGATAGTAGTAGTAGTGTAGTTAACTTTGGGAGTCATCAAAATAACAGGAATAGCCTGCACTCAGCAACTGTTTGAAATTTGCCAGTCATGCTAGTTGAAGCTTAAGTGAATTTGCAGTTCCAAAATAACTGGAAGATACCTGATTGCTTGCCTCTACTACTAGATTAATAAAATGAAAGGATGAACAGACCTTTTAACATGCATGCTTCTAATATTTAAATCCACCCTTTCATAACAAGGTATCATCAAGATCTTAGAATTGCAACTTTCAAAATTCTATTTTTAATCTATTAGCTGTGAATTCTGGAAACTGCAGTTATTAGATAACATAAATTGGGAAACACAGAATAATTTTTCAAGAAAAGCTCATTTGAACACAAAAATATAATAATTAAAGTTTTATTTAATAGTTCATTAACCTACCTACTGCAGGTGCATCATATTCATCGCCAAGTAAAATTTCAGGTGCAGAATATGCAAGAGAGCCACAACTTGTTGTAAGTTTTTTCCCAGGCTGAAATTTGTTGCTAAATCCAAAATCAGTTAATTTCACAAGTCCTTGTTTTTCAAAAAAGACAACATTTTCTGGTTTTAAGTCTCTGTGAACGACATGCAGTTTATGACAATAGGATATAGCATGAACAATCTGAGCAAAATATTTCTTTGCCAGATCTTCATTAAGACCTTCTTCATGTTTCATGATGTAATCAAACATATCTCCTCCATCACCAAGTTCTAAGATCAAATAAAGTTTGGTCTGAGTGTCAATAACTTCATACAGACGAACAATATTAGGATGCTGCACTAGTTTCATACATCTGACTTCTTGGAAAAGATGTCCTGTGGCAAGAGTATCTAATTTTGTCTTGTCAATTACTTTTACTGCCACTTTTTCACCTGTAAATACATGTCGGGCAAGCTTCACCACAGCAAAATGCCCTCTGCCTAGGGTTTTATCCAAATCATACAATCCAGCAATTTTTCCATCATATCCTCGTTTAAAACCTGCCATACTCTCCAAGTAGTAATGCTGACACTTTCTAAAATGTGTGTCTTTTCATATAAGCATTTCTGTAATAGATGCACAATTCATCTTCGCTGCCAAATGCACCTTAAAAAATCAGAAATAAAATTATTATAGAATGTACAGTTAGAAAAACATTTCTGCTTTTATAAAAGTTGGACTTTGTCTATGAAAGAACCCACTATAAAAGAATTTTCTTGAAAGAAATTTGAATAATTTAGATTAGTCACTCTAGAAATATCAGATACATAGACAAAGTTTATCTAACACTCCAAGTAGTTGAATCATCGAATTATGTAGCTTAGAATTAAAGAAAATAAGGGGAGGGGGGAAAAACAATTCCACAAAAATTTTAACAGATGACTCCTATTTCCTGACATATTAAGCAAGAAACCTAAGGAAGCTGCTGAAAACATTAGTAAATGGTATCACAGAAATTTCAGGATGAATATCTGACCTATTTTCTAACAAAATCACATGATTTTATACTTATCTGTTTTTATATTATAAAACTCTTTTATAGGAATAGAGTATAGGGAGAGAATAACAAGGCACCTACAGATAGTTCTCAACATACAATCACACTTGAGCCCAAAATTTCTGGGGCTAAGCAAGACAGTTAAGAGAAATTGCCCCATTTTATGATCATTCTTGACACCATTGTTGAAGTGAATTGCTCCAGTTGTTAAGCAAGTAACACAGTTGTTAAATGATAGTTTCCCAATTGACTTTGCTTGTCAAAAGGTTTCAAGAGATAATCATATGATCCTGGGACACTGCAGTAATTATAAGTATGAACTGACTGCCAAACATTCAAATTTTGATTATGTGACTATGGGAATGCTGCAAGGATCGTAAGTATGAAAAATGGTTTTTTTTAGTGTTGTTGTAACTTCAAACTGTCACTAAATGAATAGCTGTAAATCAAGGATTATCTGTAATTGAACTTTTTGCTTATTTCCAATTATCCCCTCTTTAGATCCAACCATCTGCATGTGTCTGGTGTGTGTCTTTCTCTCCCCCTCTCTATATATACAAAGATGATAGAGTTATAATATAAAAAACTATGAGATATACACAAATTACTAGGAAGCCTGATTTATGAGACAATTGTATTTAGATTTCAATTCTTATATCTAGTTAATTATATATTAACATTATTTAAATGGAAAATTGATTATAAGTAATAATAGTCAAAATTGTACAACCAAGGTCTTTCCAAGAAAGATGTGCAGCATATTATCAACCATTATTAAAGTAAAATAAAGTTAACAAAAATAAAATAAAATTGCACTATCCTGCTAATCCAGATTAGAAAAATTCATCTCAACAGCTTGACCTGGCCATATCTTTTCTCACTTCAATTCTGTCCTTTCTAGAAAAGAACTGGAATAAGTCTTTTGTCGTTGCATAAGAAGAAAATAAATATTTTAATGGTACATTGTCAATTGAGGATCCATATTAGAATTGTGTACAAAAATTTTATATTGATGTGACAACTAAGACAAATTTCCTAGTGAAATAAAATCTATATTGAATGTTGGGAGTCTACTAACCTTGGCAATGCACTTTTCAAAGGTAACATCTTAGTTATGCTTTGATCATCAAGTTGCAAGTTTTCTTATTTTAGAAGATTCATCTGCTGACATTTCTACATCCAGTACCCAGTTTCACATTCTTTCACTGCTATTTCCTACATAAAAAATATTTATTAGCCACCATAATTGTTTTGTTTAAATCTCACAGAAAATAACTATAAGAATATATGCATAGACTGTGATCCTAAGGTTCATTTGGAAAAATACATAAACTGTAAAGAAAATGCACTGCTACTTTTAAAAAATTAAATTATAAATATTACTATAAATATTACTAGATATAGCCTTAAATATACCTATATATTGAATTGAATGTATGAAGGACAATATGGAGGCTTTTAACACTTCATTCTCTTCGGTACCCAAAAAGGAACTTTACCTTAGATTGACTAAAATATGCTAAAGTTCTAGTAATCATGGCATATGTTGCACGGTCCTAGTAATTATTATATACATTTTATATTCTACTTCTAATGGTTATGTTCTAATTCTACAACAAACTTTCCTTATTTTTAAAAAATATTTGGGAACTGAAAAGCCTTCTGTATACAATTATCTACAATGGTGAATACATAGGACATGAACATTATGGGAATGTATTCCTGAATAAGTAGGTCTGGCTTTATTTTTGATATCTGTTCAATTGTACCTTTTTAGGAAATCCCAGAAGCCAAGGGACACAGATATTTTTGATAACATCTCTGAATGGGACCAATTTCTTTCTTATTCCCAATCTTTTCTTTTGCTGATTTTGTCTTTTATACACTTTTTATCATAAGAAAAAATATAACGTATTACAAAAGAACATCTCTACCAAAGAGAAATTTAAGTATTTATCCTCACAGCAAAAATCAGCCTATACAAAATTTGAAGGTTAAGATCTTTAGAAATTCTTTGTAGTGATAAACTGCCAGGAAAATTCTAAATGGTAAAGCTTTGAAATTTCTTGGAGCATAGTCAATTATTTCAGTGTTAGGTTTGAGACATTCTATAATCATAGAAACAGAGCAAAAGTTCCTAAGCAAACAGTAGTGGTATCTGTCAATGATTATAGACCAGTAGCTTTAACATCTGTTGTCATTAAATGTTTTGAGAGACTGGTGTTGAACTATATTGAGGCTTGTCTTCCATCTACTTTGGACCCATACCAATTTGCATACAAAAGTAACAGATCAACTGATGATGCTAATAGGTGGCCTATTGTTGTCCATACTGAATTGGATCATTTGGAACAACAGGGAATTTATGCAAGGCTGTTATTTGTGGATTATAGTTCTGCCTTTAATACCATTCTATCCAACAGGTTGTTTCTTAAAATGTCCAATTTGGGTATAAATCAGAAGATTTGTTTGTGGATAAAGATGTTCTGACAGATAGGCCACAGTCAGTAAGGATGGGATCTCACCATTCTACTCTGATACTAAGCACAGGAGCCCCTCAGAGTTGTGTGCTAAACCCCTTCCTTTATTCTTTGTACACACATGACTGCATCCCTTTGTATAATACCAACGCAATTATTAAATTTGCGAATGACACAACAGTGGTGGGGCTCATTAATAAGAACAATGAGTCTGCCTATAGAAAGTACAAGGGCTGACATTGTGGTGTAAAGAAGATAATCTTACACTTAACACCCAAAAAACTAAAGAACTTGTAATTGACTTCAAGAGGAAGAAAGATGTACATTTACCATTGTACATAAATGGTAAGGAGGTGGAGAGGGTTGATAGTTTTAAATTTCTGGGGACTATATCTCAGAGGACCTCTCATGGATTATGAATGCTAACATGCTTGTAAAGAAGGCACAGAAGAGGCTGTACTTCCTGAGAATGTTCAGGAAGATAAATCTATCTCAGTATCTACTTCTATCCTACTACCAAGGCACCATTGAGAGCATCCTGACATACTGCATTCTTGTATGGTATGGGAGCAGCTCTGTAGCGGATAATAAAGCTCTACAGAGAATCATTAAAACTGCCCAGAATATCATTGGGCTCCAATTACCAGCCCTGGATGACATCTTCGCATGTCGCTCTTTGAGGAAGTTGCACAACATTCTCAGAGACTCTTCCCATCCTGCTTACAATCTTTATGAATTCTTGCCTTCTGGTAGAAAATACAGAACAATTAAAATTTGGACCACACATTTTCTGAATAGTTTTTATCCCAGAGCTATAATTGCACTTAACAATGGACTTAAGGACCACAATCAGTGAGCTGTTGGACAGTATTACTGGTCTGTTGTATGGATGCTTGTATGCTTTTTAGGAGGCAGGGAATTTTGGCAGGTGGGGAGGTGTTTGGGAATTGTCATGTGTGTTTGCATGTTGAGTCTGGTCTCTGGATGTTAGTGAATTTCGTTGTATGTATATTCTGTATATACGTACAATGACAATAAAGAATTCAATTAAAAAAAACAATTCTGCAAGAGTTGAAATATTAGCATGCTTTCAATACGTTTTATGCTTCCAACCCCCACCCCGCAAAAAAAAGTGATTAGTGGACAATCATTAACTAGAACTGGGGTGTCAAACTGGCGGTCTGTATGCTGGATGCGTCACGCACAGGCCATGCCCACCTCAGTTCCGCGAAGGGAAAAAACATTGCAAAACATCACATGACAGCAATGTGACACAGCAAGTTTGACACCTGTAGACTAGAAGGGAAACTGTTTTACAGAGTTTGTAGGAACCATTAATTAATAAAACATAGATTAATAAAAAATGTGGTCCAATATAATTGGAATTACTTATGAATCGATAAGCACAGGAGCCCCTCAAGCACAAGACTTCACAATCCCTTTACAAATATATGTATCCTTTTTAATTACTTTGTTCAAGTTATTTATGTAACTATTCCATGTATTTAATGTATTAATTTTCTAAGCAGTCAAAGATTTAAATATGCTTCTAAGACCATATCAAATAAGCTAAAAGAAGCAACCAACAAACAATGCTTTTTCACAGCATATGGTAAGAACTGCACGCCTGATGTCCACAGCACATTCCAGTCCACATTGTTTTACCAGAAATCCATGCCAACAATATACACATATATGTGTGTATACTGAAACACATAGATTTGCATACATTGAGAGATAAAATTGAGGTTAAGGGAAGATGTACACTTGGGTCATGATGGTGACATTGGCTAACTTAAGCCCTTCCTGAACTGGCTTTTTTGCATACATATTCTTCCAAAGCTACTTCCCATAAAGGATGTGCACCCATGGGCCAGGAGATTAATTAGTGCAAAATGATCAATGAAGTTAACCTTTTCAATGCTACAATTTTGAGCCTTCTGTTAATGTTTTAAAAATATAAGAATTTAGAGCTGTAGAAACAATGTTCTCTTTAAAAGCAAGATGGAATAGACTACCTATTTACCCAATATTTTGGAATTTTCTAGAAATATTGTGCTATCTCTACAATAAAAAAAAACATTATACTTTTCTGTGGCTCTTGACTCAGTTGAAAGTGTTTTTCATCTACACTGAAAGTGATTTTTTCTATATTACATTTTTTAATTTTTATTTCCAGTTGATTAAAACATTGCACAGAACACTATGAAATCATGTTAACCATGTTATTATGCTCTTGTGTACGCAAATTGTTTGAAGAACAGGCCACTTCAGTGAAACACTGTGTCTATTAGAAAATAAAATACTGTATTAATTTACTATTGTACTAAATAGCACTGAGCTTTATGTTAGTGCTCAGGGGAAATCAAGATCTTAGAAAATGTCTCATACTTGTAATAATCTAATAAACTTAAATAAATTCTATTCTAAAACAGCAGGACAATAAAATGGGGAAACAATATTATGAAATAATCTGTCAAGCAAAAACGATTAAACAAATGTTATATCTATTTGGTATCTGTGTAGATATATAAAAAGAGATGTATTAAGAGAAGTAGAAGCATAGCATGCAACTGAAATGGCATCCAGAAAATGTTGCCAGAAATGAAGTTAGACAAACTTGTCATAAAGTGTTCTATGAATAACAGCCTACATAAAAGAGAACTAAATTGTGATCTTTTAAACTGAATAATAATTTTAAAATGTTTATCCCATCTAACAAACAAAAAAGTACTTTTATATCATCTGGTCACCTAGGTATTTCAGTTAATACTCTTGACAATCATCATGTATCAAATTAACTATTTTTTAAAAAAAATCCAAAATATTAGTATTATAGTTACATATAGTAAAGGGCAAATGAATAGAATCTTTTCAGGTTTATAGATTTCATTAGAGCAGTACATACATATGCATACACACATTATACACAAACACATATACATACATACACACATTCATTACATGCTCTAGAAAATGAAACATTGTAAAAAAACACTATGTTCACTTAGGTTATATACTTCCTAATTATACTATCTAAATAAGCTAAGCCAAATTGTGTATTTTGATGAGAAATTATCAGTGTGAAAGGCCATACAATATAATCACTACTGCTGGCAGTAAGGGGAAAAAAGACAAAATTTGTTCCTCTGATTTCCCATACTTGATACATAGAAATCATCTTATATAGGTAAGTATGACTACACTAGAGGGCAGTTGTGTAATATCCTTTGGAAGGATTCATATCTATATTAGCCAACTGTAGAAGAACCATGGTTAATCCAATTACCTTTTGTTAAATAAATGGATTTTAACTTGTAAAAGAGTAAGTAAGCTTTAAAATCTAAGCTACAAGCTATTTTTTATTTCAAGAAATATTTCAATCATATGTTCAAAGAATGAGATGTTAATATATACAGAATTATACATTGCACATTAAAATACTTATATTAATAACATTCCAATTAATATAATTTTCTTTTCAATCAATAATATATACAGTTTAAACTATAAAAAGCTATTTTACATTCTTTCATCTATCTGCTTTAATTAATATTAATAGAATGGAATAAACAAAGACATTCCACAGGTCTGATGCCTGTGTCAAAGATGTCAAATAAAACATAAATTGATGCAGCTTAGAAAAATGGCTGTTTGCCAAAAAGATCATCAAGCCATAATGTGTTTTTGGCATGACAACGCTATGTAAGCACTTCCACAGGAAAGAGCTCTGTGCACAAGAAAAATAAAGACTGCTATGCTCACTCTGAACAAACCTGCTGGCTCTCTTATCCAGCTTGCAGAAATAATTTGCACTGTCATCACCCAAATAAATCTGCAGTTCGAATATATGAATTTCTTATCTGCCACCTAAGCCGGACGAAAGCATAGCACTTGGAGGCAGGGGGTGGGGGGCAAGAATGCTGTACCTAGAATTATAGGGAATTGGAAAATGGAAACTAAAATGCTAGCGAAGGCAAGGGGACAAAAGGTTAAACTCAATTTCACCTTTCCCTCATTCATAAGTCTGCTTTTTGCAATGCTGACAATTACAAACAATAAACGAATTTTAACTCACTATGCATGCTCTCGGGGACACATACAATTACATGAGAATAGCCCTCCCTCCATTCCGTCTCTCTCCGCGTCTTGTACACTTACGTATTTCCTCGCCTCGCCCATCTGCTGCAAAAGGGGACCGCGAGAGGAGTGTATGTATGTCCAGAAACACACGAACCCGTACCTACAGTTTTCGGGACGACCCGGAGTTCGGCCTTCGGGAATGACGGCGAGCATCTGAATTACTCACGTTTTCGATCCCCAATAGTTGCTCTTTCTTTACCGGCACCTGCCCGGTAGGCCTCAGAAAAAGGCGGCCAAGCTGGGTCTGTCTCGTACCCCGCCCTTAGTAACTTACTCTCGGTACTGGTGACGGCGGCAGGCTTTTCTTTTGTCGCGGCCTCGACTTCTCAACCCGCCGCTCTCTGCATGGAAAGCGAAGGTTCCACTTGAGTGTTCACTGTCTACAACCACATCGGGTAGAGGACTGCAGATCGTCCTCTTTAGCGAAGAAGCGCCAACCGGCCACTATGATCGCTCTGCGTCTCGTGGCCCGCACCCCTTTCCTTTAAGTTCCGAAGACTCTGTGTCCAACGGACTACGCTCGCACTTCCTGCGTTCCACGGCAGGCGACGAAATGAACTGACAACAACAACAGTTCGTAGTCCGAGGACGGCAGCGGGAAAGGAAACGCAGGATAAGGAGGGGCCTCGGCAGAGAAAAAGAAAGAAAAAAAGGAAAGGAAATGCGCCTGCGTCTTATGAAGGAGGCGCCATCCGAGAGTAGCCAATGGGGGAGTTCGATTTCTGCGGCTTGTCTTCCCGCACTTCCACCGCGTGAGGTAAGCTACCGATCATGAGCGCAGAGGTTAATATGGTGCCGACCTGTGAGTGATTCCTGACTGTTGAAAAATGCTTCATAAGATAACATCTAGGTTAAAAACGAAAACGGGGTCCCCCCCCCATCAGTGAGCTCTTAATTGTTAGATATATAATGTCTCCGCATCTCATCAGCGAACCTCTAGTCTAGATCATAAACGAAGTGTTAAGCTCACGGTCTGCTTAGTGTTGTGTACATACCGAGGAAGTTAAAGATAGACCGGGAACCAGATTGCACGGTTATATCAGTGAAATGTTACATTCAGTGTTAGTGAGGGATATAGTGTCACAAATGGCAGTTTATTACGGATTAATTAATTAGATATGGAGTGCCCTAGCGTTTTGTTTTTAATAGAATATGGCAGGAGGCTAGCTGCTGTTCCATCCCTTTTAAAACTTAATATTTAAAATATTTTTAAACATGTCATAGTTATATAATTAGAATAGTTTTTAGTTAAGCTTTTCTTGCAAAGGTATGCTTTTTGTATGTTCCTCTCAATATTTATTTACTTGTCTAGATGAGTGGTTCCCAAACTTTTTCAGTCCACCACCCCCTTGGTGCTACAAACTCATCCTCAGTGAGGTGAATCCCAGGGGTGAGATTCAAATTTCTGTGGGGGTGGGATTCAAATTTCTGTGAACTGGCCTAATTTGAAGGTGGGCTGGTCATGTGACTGGGTGGACGTGGCTTTCTGGTCATGAGATTGGCGTGGCTTGCTGGTCACATGACTGGGTAGGTGTGGTTTGGTGGTCATTTGACTGGGTGGGTGTGGCCAGGTGACTGGCAAACAAGTGGTCCTCACTTAATGGCCGGTTGTTTAGAAAGTGTTCTAATTTATGACTGGCCTCCCCAGAGCTACTTGACCTGTTTTTGGAGTTTTGACAGCCATGCACACACATATACACACTCTCCCTTCTAACCCTGCTGGAACAGGTCATTGGACTAGAATTGGCAAAGCATCTCTGATTAGATTCTAGTAGTGAATAAAATCTAATCAGAGATGCTTTGTCGATTCTTATTGATTTGTTTTATTTGTATCTCTTTATTTTATGTTGCTGAATTGCATTGACATATGTGTCCCTTCTTGTACACAATCCAGAAGCTTTTGTGATTCTTTGCAGCAAAAATTACCGACCTCTGGCTTTGCTCTACTTTTCAAACATGCCGCCACTGCTGCGTTCTAGGTGCCGGCCCCGCAGGTCCACCCCATTGAGCCCACTGCACTGGAGGGGCCTGCCCAAGCAAGTCAAGTCAATGGGGTGAGCCTGAGAGAGGGAAAGAAAGAGAAAAGAGAGAGAGAGAGAGAGAAGGAAGAAAAGAAAGAGAAAAGGGAAAGAAAGAAAAAGGGACAAAGAAAGGAGGGATGGAAGGAAGGGACAGAAAGAAAAAGAAATAAAGAAGGAGGGAGGGAGGGAGAGAGGAGAAAGATAATGAGATATCTATTCTAGTCCAATTACCTGTTCCAGCAGGGTTAGAAGGGAGTGTGTGTGTGTGTGTTCTTGTAATTTACCAGTACATTTTGGTTTTGCCTTCTTCAGAATTGGCACTGTAATACATTGGGGAAAAGTAATTTTTAGGGTGGAGATCTGGCCCAATGGATCCTGTTTAAAGCCTCAACAAAATGTGACAGCTTCCTGATACTCTTGGCCATGTTTCGTCCACAAAACATTTAATAGAAGCCAAAGATGTTTCAATGTGCTGGCAAAGATTTTTCAATGTGGAAAAGGGCCTCAGTCTAAACTAAGCCTTATTTCAATCTGATGCATCAGGTCTCTCTCTCTCTCTCTCTCTCTTTCTCTTTCTCTTTCTCTCTCTCTCCCTCTCCCTCCCTCCCTCCCTCCCTCCCTCTCCCTCTCCCTCCCAGACTGGCTTTGCTTTACTTTCCCAATGTGCTTGCGGGGCTGGCGCTTCAAACATGGATGGATGGATGGATAGAGAGAGAGACAGAGACAGAGAGACAGGTAGGTAGGTAGGTAGATAGGTAGGCAGGCAGGCAGGCAGACCTTTTGGATGAATGAATGGATAAGTAAGTAGGAAGGTAGATTGGTAGATAAGTAGGCAGATAGATGATAGATAGATAGATAGATAGATAGATAGATAGATAGATAGATAGATAGATAGATAGATCTATATTGGTAGGTAGCTAGGTAGACAGAAAGACAGGTAGGTAGGTAGGCAGGAAGGCAGGCAGACAGACAGACCTTTTGGATGGATGGATAGACAGACAGACAGACAGACAGACAGACAGACAGACCGATTGTTCTATATTGGTAAATAGATAGGCAGGTAGGTAGGTAGAAAGACAGGCAGGTAGTAGGTAGGCAGGAAGGCAGGCAGGCAGACAGACCTTTTGGATGGATGGATGGATAGATAGATAGATTGATTGATAGATCTATATTGGTAGATAGGTAGGTAGGTAGACAGAAAGGCAGGCAGGTAGGTAGGTAGGCTGGATGGCAGGCAGACAGACAGGCAGATCTTTTGGATGGATGGATGGATGGATGAATGGATGGATGGATGGATGGACAGACAAACAGCGGAAAGAATGCAACAGCGGTGGCACTTTGGGAAAGTAGAGCAAAGCCAGAGTGGGAATTGAAGTCCACACAAGCTTCCAAGGTTGAGAAACACCGGCTGAATATATCAACAGCCATTCTTTAGAGTTTAGCATGCTGTTTTATTCCAGCTTAGTCAATAAACCATGGCTAAGATCTTCCTGCTCCTTAATGCAGCTGCCCCTCTGCCCCTTCTCCAGCCCCCTGCCCCAGTTCTTTCTTTGGCATCCAATTTTGCAATGCCAACCTCCCCGGAGCAGTGATGTGGCCGACTTCACCATCTTTGCTTCAACCCAAGGTCCACTTCCATTGGGCCAAGCAAGGGAAGGTACTCCGCACATGCTCAGAGACTCCCAACTTCGGGGAAGCGTTCCGCCCATCTTTACTCTCCGCCCGGGAGGAGGCAGCCCAGACCGACGGAGGCAGAGGGAACGATCGCTTGGAAACCAACCAAGCAAGCAAGCACAGGGCTCGGTCGGAAGAACTGGGCTACAGAGGGAGGCTAGGTTCTAGGTCCGGGAAGGCCACATAGAGCCGAACCGAACCATGCGCCTTGGAGAGCCACAGCTGCACCCACCCGCATCCTGCACACAAGCCTGGCTGGCTGAAGAGGAGGAGGCTGGGCGGGTGCTGCATGCTCCCTTGTTCTCCTCCAGGGAATGGGGCCTAACGCCAGACCACCCACCCCTTCCACTGTGCGCCTTGGCAGGGTTTTGCTTTCGGGGCTTCTGGCACGCCTCCGCCGCTTCCATCAGAGAGGGCAGCCTGCAAGCTAAGGCGCCCCCTTTCCTCCACCTCCCACCTCTCTGTCCCCCGCTCCCGGTTTGACAAGGCTCACCATGTGCAAGTTCCTCATTCAAGACGCCGGCGACGGAGCGATGAAACAGTCAGTGGGCTGCGTGACCGGCAGTCAGTGAGCCTGCGGGGCTGGTGCCCCGAACGCCCCTCCTTGCCTCTTAGCGCTCCCTGCCTCTTAGTGGCCCCCTAAGGCATCCCCCCCAGGGTGCGGTACCGCCCACTTTGAGAACCACTGGTCTAGATGGTTTACAGAGCAACATAAAAACAATGTAAAATAATGTCAGCCAAACAATTAAATCAGTAACTAAAAATAAAAACAAAACTGGTCAAGTATTCAGACAAATAAATCAGTGGTGTCACTTTAAGCTCAATAGGCTTTTTGAAATATTTTAGTTTTTGCTAACTTATAAGTAGGTTGGAGGTCAAAAGAATTTCCAGGAAGAGATCAGAGAGATCCCATCTGAAAAACAGAGCCTGTAAACTTCCACTTCTCTTGTTCCCAAAATGGGTATCACCAGCCTTTCTTCCATGATACATACATGTAGAAGCCAAACCAGATTGGAAAAGGTGGTCTTGCAACTATAACAGTGCCAAACCACGTAGGGCAGTGGCCCACAACCTTTTTTGTGCCACGGCCCGGTACCAGCATCACAAAATGATCCGCGGCCCAATACTGGCATCAGCACACATGACAAGGCAAGGCGAGCCGAGCGATCGGCCAGCCAGCCGTCCCCCGCTTCTCCCCGCCACCTTCAACTCCTCCTTTGTACCTTTTTTGTGCTTTCTTAATCTCCTCCACCATCGGGACGGCTCTTCGTTCGAAGCCGCCTCCCCCTTCGATGAAACTAAGGCGCGAGGATTCCTTCAGGACCCAAACGCCGCTTTCCAACAGGAAAAGCTCACCCGGAAGCACTTTCTCGTCGAAGCAAGATGGCGGTGCCCAGCAAACCAGCGGCCCGGTAGAAAATGATCCACGGACCGGTACCGGTCCGGGGCCCAGTGGTTGGGAACCCCTGACGTAGGGCATTGTAGGTTAAAATCAACCAGGGTTGGGATTCAAATTTTGTAACAATTGGTTTTGTGGGCATGGCTTAATCTGTGGGTGTGGCTTGGTGATCATGTGACTGGGTGGGCATGGCTGGGTGGTCACGTGGCTGGGTGGGTGTGGCCAGGTGACTGGCAAACCAAATACAAGTGGTCCTCGCTTAATGGCCGATTGCTTAACAAGTGTTCTAATTTATGACTGATCTTCCCAGAGCTACTTGACCTGTTTTTGGAGTTTTGACAGCCCTATGCACACGCACACATACACACACACACACATCCTTCTAGCTCTGCTATTCTTTATTCTGTAAGGATCTCCTGGAGCAGGGGGTTGGACTAGATGACCTCCAAGATCCCTTGCAGGCCAGCCCTAGATTGCTGTGCTGCTTCAAAGAGTCT